ATTAGTTTAAATTTATTGGATTAAATCAATTTCAATTAGATGTATCAGATTGCATCAGATATAAATACCCTAACTTAAACTCGGTTCCATTTGACTTTGGGTCCCCATCCCAACAATGATTTTCGTTGTGCTGAAATTCATTTGTTTTTTCTTTGCTCAAGATGCAAAGTTGCCAATGACTTCCTAGTTTTCTTATCAATGGAATTATCCAATGGGACATCTTTCTCAAATTCTTCTTCACATTTTGAACTCGACTCTTTTAATTTAATCTCTCTTCACATTTCAAATTTAATTCTCTTAATTCAAAACCTTGCATTCTTATCAATTGAAATATTCTTTTACTGGACTTCCTAGTTTTTTCTTTAGTGGATTGCTTTTTCCCCCTTTTTGGCCCTTGATTACTTTTTCTTTTACTAAGTTTTCGTACATTCTTTGGTGGTCTATAAAAAGGATATGAAATTAAAAACCTTCATATGCAAATAGAATATGATATAACTAAACTCGTTTTTACATTAATATATTGCAATCAATCTGCTTCCACTCTCAACACAAATAGAATTAGTCAAAAAAAATTTAGTACATAAAAAATACAGGTTATATGTTATAATATATAATAATATGAAATAACGTCTCCTTTTCATAATTTTTTTAAAAAAATCTATTTCAAAGTTTACAACTGAGACTTCTAAGTCAGATAATCTAAGTTTTTACACCAATAGCATTAGTCAATTAGTTACAAAAAAATTTCTCACTTCAAAGAAAAGAGGAGATAAAAATGAATTAAATACCAATAATTTGTTGGTCTGAGTAAAAAGAATTCAATAACTTTTAAATAAGATTTTGACTTCAAATTTTATAAATGAAAAAACAAATACTAAGAAAATATTTTCAAATAAGATTTGATGTGATTTTATTTCAGATTAATTAAAATTTAATATCATTATCAAATATCGTGAGATTAGTATAAAAAAAAAAAAAAAAAAAGCAAATGCAAGCTTTCATATTTGCTTTTTGAAAATCCAATGTTCCATGGTGCGATAATTTATCACGAAAACAAGACCCAAAATCACCGAAACGAGAAATTAATCTCATTAAAGTCATAGTGCTCGATCCACAAAAGATTGAATTTTATAACCCAAAAAAAAAAAAACTTAGAGATTGCGCGGCATTTACGCCACTCAACTGCAATCAATCCCATGGAAAACAAAATTAACAATCTCCAAGAAAACCCAATTAAAACTACATAATTTTATTGAAATTAGGAGTACATGTATGAAAGCTGGAAAGGGTTTTTAAAAGAGAAAAGAAATCCCAATATTGTCTCCTATCTCCATCAGTCAACTAGAAGCAAATCTAAGTTTGGTAGGTGGAGTTCGTTTCAAGCATTTTGAAGATTCAGAACCAGCCAGAATGCCAGATACTGGAAAGTGGAATTTTGACCGATGCAACAGCCATCAGAGTTTAGTTTTCCCTTACTGTAGAATGAATATTAAATTAGAACTCAGTTATTATCGTACGATGTATTATTAAAGTCACATAAAATACATATAAAGAATTTGATTTTTTGTAAATAAAATATTAAATTTAATTTTTATAAATAAAGAGGAAAATACCAAATCAATTTTTTTCATGAAGTTCAATTTTCAACTCATTTTTAAATTAATTGAAGTTTAATAAAAAAAATTACACAAATTTGTAATGAAATATAAAAGTTGTATTTTTTTAATTAATTTTATTAATTTGTAGTTTTTTAAAGAACTAATTATGACGGTTGGAAACTTCATTTTATAGGTTGATTTTAATGTTTTGATTGGATTTTTTTTCTTTTTTTCTAATATTATTTGTATTAACGAGGAAGGATGATGACTAGATGAGGTTGTCCTAGTTGGGCGAGAAATTCCCGTGAAAGTAAAGCAACTGTGTTTCTTCAAAGAAAACAACGTAAAAGGAAAGAGGCCATGTGTTGTCGTCTTGCTGTCTATACTGTTTTTTAAATTTTCACGTTTTACCTGCTTTTGCATTAATCATTTTGTCGGATACACGAAAGGTAAATTACTGTCTGAGCGTCATGGATTACTACAATCATGTGTCTGCCTAATGCGTCTTGGAGTAAAAACAAAGTTGGACGTGAGAATTTACCTTCTAAAACTAAAATTGGAGTACCAAGAAAAATAGTAGAAGAATCAGCTCCTTAATTTTAATTTTTTGTTTTTAAGTTTTAGTATTTGAGTAGGATTGATTAAGATTTCAAATCATATTAATCATTTAAATGTTTATACTAAACCTACAAAATATTAGTACTTCGCATCTCATGTGCCTGGCGCAACGGTCACTTGTTGTCTTTTGGAGCAGGTCGTTGTTTGCATTTCATGTCTCGGATTTAATACCCTCCTTACACACTAATACTTCTAATCATTATCTTTCTCAAAAAAAAAAAAAATTAGTACTTCTTTTAACTCATGGGTTGAACTCATTCTTTTTTTTTTCTTTCCCTGTAATTGTTTTCGTAAAAAAAAAAAAAAGAATGGTAGAAGTAGTATTTTATTTTATTTTTTTGTTTCAAGAAGTAGTATTTTATTTAATAGGCGTGCAAAGCAACAAAAGGTAAACCTAGGCTAAAAGCTTTAGACTCAATTGCAAATATTCTCAATGTGATTTGGGAATTGGGATAGTTATAGATGTTGCATTTAAGCTTTTATATAAACCTTTTTTCACACAATAATATATCTAAAATTATAAATTTATTATTTTTAATTAATTTTTATAAAAAAAATTTAATTTATATTGCAAGACTGCATAATAAAAAATATATTTATTATATTTATAAAAGTTGATATTTAATTTTAAGAATTATTTAATTAAATTCATCTAAATGGTAATAATATTAAAATTAATATTAATTTTCATAGTTTTCTATATAAATTAATACAAAAAAGGTACAATAAGTGTACTATTAACTTATACCCTAAAGACAAAGTTAGAAAATCCATATTTTTATACTTTTATTAATTTTAATTAATATTTTCTATATTTTTAAAATAGTAAAAGATAATAAACATATGATTATAACACAATGTAGCATAGTATTGACAAACAAAGCCTTAATCTTACTTGGTTTAAGGTGAATGCCCTTAACCTCTTAAATCACAAAAATATACACTTGATTTATGTAATTTGAAAATGTACACTTAACTTTGAAGTATTTTTTAGATTTCACCTTCAACATTAATAAACTTTGAATGAAATGCATATTTTTCAAATCATAAAGAGTTCAAGAACACAATGTATGATTATAAGAGTCAAGTACACATGTTCAAATTAGTGAGGGTTGCATATTTTAGGGGCTATGTGCACTATTCTCAAACTTATACAGGGATAAGTGTCATTTTTCCTAAATATACATGTATATATATATATTAAGGAAATAGTATTTACATGTCTTATTTTTTAAAAATTATAAGAAATATTATTATAAAATTACATTATTTTAATAAATATATATTGAAAAATATTAAAATATTATATTTTTAAAATATAAATTAAAATATTTTTTATCATTTTTTTAAAAATTTTTTAAAAATAAAATAGACTTCATGTATTAAAGTCTAGAATTAATCGAATGCCAAACATTGGTCCACGGCCAACAGACAATGGCCATGTCAGATGGGGATGGAACGCAACTGCCACGTGTACAACACATAGGATTATCGTTTGACCAAACTCTCAAACGTGGCACAAAGAAAAAGGCTAAAAATAAAATCTGAAAACTGGACGTCGGGACATGGCACCTCTCTTTCTCTCTCCTTCTCTTCTCCCCCGTCCTCTGTTTTTGCCGGTGAGAGCTTTAAATGCTCCCAGTCCCAGCTTTACTTTACTCTTTTCCATAATTATTACTCTTTAATTATATCACCCCCTTTTCCCCCGTCTCCCTCCCCTTTATTGCCACCCCTTCCTCCTCCCCCAATTCTCTGACTCTGACTGCCTCCCCTTCCGTCGCCACCTTTTCCGGCGAATCTGTCAGCTCCAGTTTCACCTTTTCCCATCTGTTTTTTGAATTTTCGCTCTTTCTTCACTCGAAGAAGCTGTTTTAGCATCTGGGTTATTTTTTTCCTACCTTAATACAGCAGTATTTTCTGGGAATCTGTTTTCTTTGTTCTTTTCCCCAAACAGTGCTGCTGATTTCACTGTCTCTTCCGAAAACCACTGTCTCCGTTTCTTTTGCGCTAAAGCATTTGTCATTTAGCTCTGTGATCCTCTTTTTAGTTTTTGGGCTCTATTCCTCTCAAGAAGTTTTACTCCGATAAGGTTTTCTTCGCAGTATTTTCAAAGGAGTTTTTTTTCAGCTTCTTTGAATTTTGATTTTCATGAAGGTTTAGCAGTTTTTTTTTGGAGTACCCAGATAGGGAATTGAAGGGGAAGATGCTGCTGAACCTCTTTGCTTTTCTTCTTCTAGCTTCTGCGACGGCGGTTCAGTCTCTGGACCAGACTTTCAACGATGATGTTCTGGGGTTAATCGTCTTCAAGGCGGGTCTCCAGGACCCAAATGCCAAACTCCAGTCCTGGACCGAAGACGACAACGACCCCTGCAACTGGGTCGGCGTCAAATGCGACCCGACTACCAACCGGGTCTCCCAGCTCGTCCTCGACGGCTTCTCCCTCTCAGGTCATGTCGGTCGCAGCTTGTTGCGGTTGCAGTTCCTTCAAACCCTCTCGCTATCGAATAACAATTTCACCGGACCCATAAATCCCGATCTCACTCACCTCGGTGGATTGCAAGTAATTGATCTTAGTGGAAACAGTCTTTCGGGGTCGATTCCTGATGATTTCTTTGCACAATGTGGGTCTTTAAAATCAGTTTCTTTCGCAAGGAACAATCTTACAGGGCAGATTCCTGATTCTTTGAGCAAGTGTTCGACGCTTGTGGATATTAACTTCTCATCTAATCAGATTTCTGGGCGATTGCCGTCCGGAATTTGGTTTCTGAGAAGCTTACAAACCCTTGATCTTTCCAATAATTTGCTGGAGGGAGAGATTCCACAGGGGATTGGGTATTTGTATAACTTGAGAGGGATAAGTTTGGCTAAGAACAGGTTCTCAGGGAGGGTTCCCGGGGATGTTGGAAGTTGTTCACAGTTAAAATGGCTTGATTTGAGTGAGAATTATTTCTCTGAGAGTCTTCCAGAATCAATGCGGTGGCTTGGTTCTTGTAGTTCAATCAGTTTCCGAGGAAATTCGTTTACCGGAGTAGTCCCTGATTGGATTGGAGAACTAACAAGTCTGGAAAGTTTAGATCTTTCTGGGAATAAATTTTCAGGGTGGATTCCATTTTCCATAGGAAATCTTCAGAGGTTGAGGGATCTGAATCTGTCAAAGAACCAGTTTTCAGGGGGATTACCGGAATCCATGATGAATTGCTCTAGCCTTTTGACTGTAGATGTGAGCCAGAATCTGTTGGCTGGAAATGTTCCTTCATGGATGTTTGGGATGGGATTGAAGAGTGCGTCTCTTTCCGGGAAAAAGCTAACTGGAAGCACTGTAACTTCTTCAGTTGACTCCATGGTGGCATCCTATCAAGGTCTTCAGGTCTTGGATCTGTCTTCAAATGCATTATCTGGTGGAATTCCATCCAGCATTGGGGTTCTCAGTAGCTTGGTGTACTTGAATATGTCCAGGAACCGTCTCTTTGGTTCTATACCAGCAAGCGTAGGAGAATTGAAATCCACAGAAGATATTGATTTGAGTTACAATTTGCTAAGTGGAAGCATTCCTCTGGGTATCGGAGGAGCAGTTTCACTCAAGGAGCTGAGGTTGCAGGGGAACTTTCTGTCAGGGAAAATTCCAACTCAGATAGTGAATTGCTCATCTCTAACATCTTTGTAAGTTTTTCCTTGTCAAGGATTTCATGCTTTTAAGTTTTAATCTTTATTTATATTGTTAGATTAAAAGCTTTCTTAGTACCAGAAAAGTTTGCATTGACAGATTAATTTTTTAGCTATTGTCATTAAGCATGTCTTTTGAGGCATAAGGAATTTATTCATACTGAATCCTGAGAGCATTTTTTTAATTGAATTGGTTTGAGAAATGGATTTCCTCTCTTTCCTGTCTCTAATTGAGATTTGAATGTCAATCAAGGTGCCTTTATTTTCTAACAGATTTTTGCCTTTGCTTTTGGTTTTTGTTTGGACCGAACAGAATTTTATCTCAGAACAACCTGACTGGCCCAATTCCTGCAGTCATTGCGAACTTAAGCAACCTCCAATATGTAGACTTGTCACTGAACGAACTGACTGGAAGCCTACCAAAAGAGCTGACAAATCTTTCTCACCTACTGTTCTTCAATGTCTCATATAACCACCTCCATGGTGAACTCCCACTTGGGGGCTTCTTCAATACCATACCTGCCTCATCTGTCTCTGGTAATCCAGCCCTGTGTGGTTCTGTTGTTAAACGCTCCTGCCCTTCTGTTCATCCCAAGCCAATAGTCCTCAACCCTAACTCTTCTGGCTCCATTGGTAACTCCTCTTCAGATCACCACCGCAAGATTGTACTCAGCATCTCCGCCCTCATTGCCATTGCTGCAGCAGCCTTAATTGCTATTGGTGTGGTAGCAATAACTGTTCTCAACATCCATGTTCGGTCTTCTATGTCACGAGCTGCAGCTGCTCTCACATTATCCGGTGGGGAAGATTTCAGCTGTTCTCCCACTAATGATCCAAACTATGGCAAGCTTGTAATGTTTTCCGGTGATGCTGACTTTGTTGCTGGGGCCCAAGCACTTCTCAACAAGGAAAGTGAGATTGGCCGTGGAGGGTTTGGAGTTGTTTATCAAGCAAGCCTTCAAGATGGGCGTTCAGTTGCTATCAAGAAACTGACCGTTTCAGGTATGATCAAGTCTCAGGAGGAGTTTGAGAGGGAAGTGAAAAGGCTTGGAAAGATCAGGCACCACAATCTTGTGGCACTTGAAGGGTATTACTGGACTCCATCCTTGCATCTCCTCATTTGTGAATTCGTTCCTGGTGGAAGTTTGTATAATCACCTTCATGATGGACCCGGTCAAAATTCTCTCTCTTGGAGACAGAGGTTTAACGTAATTCTTGGGATGGCCAAGGGTCTGGCCCATCTGCATAGGATGAACATAATTCACTATAATCTGAAATCGACAAATGTTCTGATAGATGGCTCTGGTGAGCCAAAGGTAGCGGATTTTGGACTTGCAAGGCTGCTGCCAACTTTAGACCGCTGCATATTGAGCAGCAAAATCCAAAGTGCACTTGGTTACATGGCTCCTGAGTTTGCTTGCAAAACAGTGAAAATAACTGAGAAATGTGATGTGTATGGATTTGGGGTCTTGGTATTAGAGGTGGTAACAGGGAGAAAGCCTGTGGAGTACATGGAGGATGACGTAGTAGTGCTTTGTGACATGGTGAGGGGAGCACTGGAGGATGGTAGGATGGAGGAATGTGTTGATGGGAGGCTCATGGGGAATTTCCCAGCAGAGGAAGCAATTCCAGTGATTAAGCTTGGTTTAATCTGTGCTTCTCAAGTGCCATCAAATCGCCCTGACATGGAAGAAGTGGTTAACATTTTGGAACTAGTCCAGTGCAGTCCTGATAGCCAAGAGGAGCTGGAATAAATGAAGCCTGTAGAGATCAAGACAGAACAAAACACAGTGTTTCCTGGTGAATAAGAATCCAGTTTGTTCAACAAAAAGAAAAGAACACTAGATCTTCAGACACCCTTCTTGCCCCTCCGTTGCCTGAATTTCGCAGCATTATGTTCTTTTATTTTTCCCAATTCTTTGTTGTTGTATTTTCCTTTGCACCTTATAGTTTTCGGATTTTGTTATACACAAGCTTACTGGATTCTTTTTCACCAATTGAATATGAGGATTTGGCTTTTGTTCAGTCATGTTTTGCTTACCATTTTTTTTTTTTCTTGGTGCTATGATTCCACACGCTATGCATGCTTCAAGTCAATATAAGAACAAAGAAAACAGAAGGGAAAGAAAGTCTAAGAAAGCCTTGACATTCTATTCCCTTTCTAAGCCAGAATACAAAGGAAGTCTTTTAGAAGAAGTAAAATACACACCCATGCAGTTCACCATGACAGCAAAAGAAATTGAATGGAATGATACAAACCCATGATGCTGTTGAAGAAAAAAGCAGTATCTTGCTTTATTCACACTTAAGCATTAAATCAATATTCCTCTTGCTTTTCCCCTTTATGCTACCAAAATGGTCAACAACCTTTTTCAATCAAAGCCTAAAGTTATGATCACCCATTGATGCGCATTATCGACCCATATGCACACTTTCAAAGTTTGTTGGGACGGCATGAATAAGAGCTAATGCTTTTGCCAGTGAAAGTAATTAGTTGACAATATTTATTGATAATAAATTCTCTCAACAATCGCATGATATAAAATGAGTAAATACATAAGATTTATATGTCCTATCAAATAAAAAAATTGGATATAAATTATTATCACGTCACATTGTAAAAATTTGTTACAACAAATGTTCTCAACGCATTTGGCAAGTTTTGGTTAATAATTGATGCTTAAGTTTGACGTTTAAATTTGATGATTCAGAGAGTGTTGGAGGCATCATCAAAGCACATCACATGGGGGCCATAAGGAGCACTTCCATGGCTTTTTTGAAATGGGAAAGTAGTGTTTTTTTAGTGCATGGCAATCATGATTTCATTCCTTGTGTTGTAAATGCGTTCCCATGTTAAAAGTTAGCTTTTCCCTCATGCTGAACAGAAAATTTTAATATTCTCTAGCCTAGCTAGATATTAAGAAATACAAACTGGTAGGATTCGTGAGGGAAATAATTCTAAAATCCTGTAAAAGGCATGCTCAGTATGTTTATTTGATATTTGCTTATCAACAAAAACCATACCTTTCTCAGAAAAGAGAAAATTAAAAAATAATTTGAGACTCAAGTGAAATTCATATTATATCTTATTAATCCTATAGTTAAGTTATATTCTTATATTTTTTTTAATAAGAAGAAATTTTAATTTTCACATTCTTTTTATTTCTCTTTTTTCATTTTTCTGTGGTAAGAATTAAGTTTTCAGCATTGCTGGAGTTTGCATTACCTAACTTTAACCCAAATCAAAGATTTTATGGTGGTTAAAGTATTAATTTAATCAAACCCTTATTAATTTTACTTATTCTATTAATTGTCTTTAATTCTAATTTATAATTATACAAGATCTCACAGAATACATTTTTTAATGTTGAAATCAAAATGAATCCTAGATATTGGTTAGTTTGTAATTCAGAAAAACGGCTAAAAATTAAATCCCATTTTGGCATTTTCAGAGCCAGAGCCCTTTGTTTCTTGCGAGATTGCAATAAAAAACAAAGAATAATCCCACTTCAAAAAGTGGATTTGGGACTAATCCTCATGTTTGATGGATGGGACACCAACAGTCATGGGACCTCCCTAGATATGGAGCCATGAACTGACGGGCCTGGATACTCCCTGTTTCTGCTTTTGAGTCATGACCAAAGATCTAGACTTTATCGGCTAATCAAGTTGGTACATAAACATGGCATGGAATTAAAATACATTGATTTTTTGGAGAATACATCGCTGCAATGCTTATGAGAAAAAAGAAAGAAGACAGTTTTCATTACCTAATAGGCCAATGCCCGTTATCACAAAAAAAGATACGTTCCGGAGGAGATGACAAAAATCTCACATAATTTCAGACATGGTTACCCACTTAGATGGAGAAAAAGGGTTGAAAACAGTGTGAACCTAATGAAGGTTAAGGGAAACAAGTTGCCAAAGAACGATTACAAAGGGCAGAAAAATATATGTGTAACTCCCCTAGACAACGCCTACTAGTCCCATGTCAACATGGCAAGTATGTGGAGAATTTACAGTTTATACACTGAATTTCCTATTATTTCCGTATATCTGCTATTGTTTCATCTTTCAGCCATCTCTGAGTGTTGAATTCTTGCCTTGCCTTGCCTTTTTTTAAAAGTAAAAATCCTAATCATCCCAATCATTTTCCCAGCCATCTTTATTTGGAGACCTAGCAGTGAGCCCGTTTGCTGAGATGTTTCCTAGGTGATGTCCTGCTGGTGGTTTCACTGCATTTTCTTCATCCCAATCATCATCCCAACCCTGATCCCAACCTTCTGCTGTTTCAACTCCTGTAGCTGCTGACATAGATTCTGGCCTTCCCATTTCTAGCTCTTGGTAAGGGATTCCATCCAGCTGCCTTCTCCTCTTCTTAAATTTGCAGCAAGTCCATGTTACTACAAAGATTAAAATTGCTGCAATCAAGAAATATGCACCATTAACTGGGGTCACTAGCTGGTCATATGATGGAAGGTGGAAGACCCCTTTTTTAGGATCAAGAGGGTCCACTTGAATAACGCAATTTCCATGTCCAGCATCGAATGTCAAATTGACTCTTTGGTTGAAAGCCACGGTGATATTGCTCTGAAATCAAACAAGAATTACATATATTAATTCTAACCACAGAGAAAGTCAACAATATTCCCCATGAATTTGCATTTCTTGGACCATCATCAACAAGAACCTTAATGTAAGATTTTGAATCCTGTTCAAAGTCAAGGTTCCTAATCTTGCTATGCAATCAAATGAATAGTTTATCATGCAAAAAATATGATAAATATATCAGGTGCCAGCCAAGCTCCCAAAACAGAGAAAGCAATTCCCTTTCCATTTTAACATATTTCTTCTGCATTTGCCTATACCATATTCATGTGCACGATTTCTACTAAAAAGTTCTAAAACTTAGGGAGCAACTTCCAGGTTAGCATTTCTTCCAACCAATATTGATTAATAAGGCTTTTGCTCACTCCATAAGAAAACTATTGCTGGGAACTAAAGCCACCCATGTCTTAAGAACAGTGGAAAGCAATACTCTCAAGAAACACAAACACACCCACACCCACCCACCCATGCACACACACACACACAAATATGAGTTGAATTATCAGCTGTCCATTTCCAAATCCAATGGTTTGAGATATATTACTAAATATACACTATCATTTCCACCATTGGATTTGAAAATCAATGGCTGATAATTTAAGACTGACATATGTACGTGAATCATGAGATTCATGACTATATGTATAAGCTTAGGTTCAAATTGATTTTTCTTCTTTCCTCTATCTTTCTACATCATCTACATTGCAACATCATACAACCTGAGTTCAACTTCTATCCTGAATAATGTTTGTACAACATAGGTTTTCATAAAGTTCCAAGATTGTTAGAAGAAAATAACAAACTTCTATTCAGGTTCTAATTCACTTAAGAAATGGGTGTCATGAAGTTCCAAAGATCATCAGAGAAATAATGACAAACTAGCAGAAGCATCTATACCGTTTTATTTTCATGTTTTGGTATGTCTAGCTCCTCGAAAGGATACTTAACAGAGTTTGAGGGCACAGGATGTACTTTTAAAGTTTCATTCCCTTCATTTTTGAATAGAAGAACCAACTCTTTGGACCCTGCTTAAGAGAAAGGAAATCAGATTACCTCATCAGGAAATGAGTTGAATCAAATAACATTGTTTAGTATGCTTACGCTATCAAAACTCTGGGGCCAATTGACAACATCTATAACAGAGTAATAAGGAAAACATTTGCTGAATTTTTTTCATTTGTTAATCAAAAGAGGTCCATCTTCTGAAGTCAAAAATCTATTTTCCTTGATATCCAACAAAACACTGAAATAGTAAATGAACCACCTCCTCCCATACTGGTAGAAAACTAATCAACTTTAATAAATAAATAAACCTAAATTCAATATAAAGCCTCACTCCCCTTCTCACAGATGCTACAGAAACCAGTGGACCAGATTCTATCAAATTTTTCCTCGAATGGTTACAAGAATATAATCATTATGCACCCTAACCAATCAACCCTACCCACATTACCAGCTGAAACCCATTCTTGAAATATACCTTGCCATGGAGAAATTCTCTTTAGAGACATGGGATCCCTAGTCCTGGACACAGGTGTCTCACATTTTTGCCATACCAACTCCACACAGAGTGAATTAACTTTAAGAACATGTTTCTTGTGGACTTAACTGATAGATATTATTAACTCTCCATGTGCCTATGAAATTCTTAAAACAAAGAAAAAAAAAAGGAAAAAGGAAAAAATAAAATAAAATAAAATAAAAGAAGTAAGAACCCCATCTTTGCATATAAAAAGATGATTATAGAATCAACATGGGTCACTAGAAGGTGTGATTATAAGATAATTCCCCAACACTACTATGAGTACTCTCAAGCTAATGACAAAGCAGAATAGCCTATTAAGTCCAACACCACATTATTATAGCTAACCTAAAGAACTAAGCAAAAAACCCTTAGCAGCAAAAGTTAGTACTTTTGACAAATTTTCAACGAAAAAGGGAAATGAGGAGATACCACTAAAGAAGTTGGCCATTTGGTATCAATTCACACGTCATGCCGTGAAGAAAAGAGTAATGATGTGCAATTTATAAACTTAAAAAATGACAGATGAAGGTAAAGTTTTCATAATTCAACTATTAGAAATACAGGAATTCATAAATGAAAGAAGCTAGACATGAAGTTTTTTTATAAAAATGAGACCCCAAATCTTTTCTCTTTATAAATTTAACAGTTGGAATTGAACAAACCAGATAGAATTAGACAAACACACAAGGAAAGGAGATCATTATGTGCTGTCAATTGTATAGAAATAAGTTCTCACCTTAGAAAGGACGTGGCTTAATAGCACCTCCTGCTATAAAAAGAAAGCAGGAGAGTATCTTGAAATTTTGAAATGTTCCATCCACATACATAACAGTCCAGTGCTGAGTAATCCTATCTCAAGAAGACCTAACCAGTTTGTGTGAACATACTGCACATTATGACATTTGAATTTCTTCTTCCTATAAATCTATTACTTGGTTGTTGTCTCTATAATTTCTAGACATAGTTTGTGATGGCTTCAGTAATTTCGACTTCAAAAGAATAAATGTTCAGCAAAGTGACTAATCAAACCGAGGCTTCAAATTTAAGAGCTATAATTCAACCAAGCATCTTTATACAGCAAATGAACTGTTTAGAAACCTAAAGACATTTACAAATGAGCCAGCCTGTGCATTTTTTAGCTCCATTTGATAAGACTCCTGATAAATTTAAACTTCAAACAAATATAATCATGCCTTCACTTACTATTCTCCTTCAAGAATCTTCCTAAGGATCCAATTTCTTGGGCAAGTGCATATAGGATTTTCAAATCAATTACTTACTAATAGTCCTACTCCTACCATGTAATTTAAATTCCAAAATGCAGTTTTTTTTTTTCTTTTTTTCCAGTTTATAATATATTCAAGGGTCATTCAAATTAGGTTCACAGTCAAGAAAGCATCTGTCACTAAAAATTCCATTCCTTTGAATTCAAACCCTATCATAGCAGTAAAAATAAAGTTTCTTGAACTACACTCTATGCAAATTGCAAGAACATAAAATAATGAAAATCAATTCAAAAAGATTGAGAGCAAATGAAATACCAATTTCAGAACTTTTTATGCAGACAGTTAATGAATTATTGTCCTTGCACATCTTGGACACCCCCTCGCAAGTTTCACTAGGACCCGGTTGTGAGTCATTTTTATCCCCATTATCAGTCGTCTGCTCCTCCTCATCTTTATTTCCACTACCTGGTAGGCTTTTAGGAGGTGGACTCCCCGAATCCCTTTCCCCTGAGGCCTTGCCGGTATCGGTCGGAGGAAGTGCATATCCTGTTGCATTGGAAACCTCAGGACTCGGCGACGGAGAAACCTAAAAAAACAAGACTGACATTTAAAAAACCAAAATGAGATGATTAACGCTGAAATTGAGCAAATCAGAAGAGAGAATTACTCCTTCCTTGGCGCCGGAGCTGTTTTTGAGACCTTTATCACCTAGCTTTCGAAGTTTCCAGATAAAGGAAGCATTGGAAACATCGAAAAAAATCAAGAACAAGAAAAACACAGCAGCGATTCCATTTCTATCCATTACAAAACAGAACTCTTTCCGCAGTTGTTTCTCCTTACAGGATCTGAGAAGTTGTTTCCCCAGCAGAAATTAGATCACAAGAAGCAGCTTCGATTGAAAAACGCATCTTCCACGAAATTCAGCAGGTTTAGTACAGAAGTCAATCAGAATATATATATATTTTTTAAAGCAATTTTTATGGAGAAATTACAGATTTGAAACTTATTTATGCAGATTGATTAAAAACAGGAAATTTTCAGATGATGAAGAAGAGTTATAACCATTATGAATTTCGTAAAACCCCCCCAAAAAAAAATGAAGAAAAAGACCATAGAAATTTGCTTTGGAATTTAAAACCATGAATGTCAATGAAAAGAGAGTATCGGGTCTTGACGCGGAAGAACATGGAAAAATGAGGTCTTGTTGACGCTTGATGTGATTCGCAGTTGCTGGACTGCTGTTCCAATTATGCTAAAGAAATGAGGATTTATGTCCATGTGGGCTGTCTTGGCCCATATTTCAATACCAAACGGCTCAATCGTCATTGGAGACTAATTCTTACCGGCCCGTGACGCGTGATCTGTAATTCATTCATAAGTTCGTACATACAGTATTAAGGATTCATTTAGTAAATAACTTTTCAAGTGTTTCAAAATTAAATTTTTTTTATAAATTTTTTTTATTTTTAAAAGTAATTTTTAAATTTTTTAAATAAAAATTTAAATTATTACTCATAAATAATAATAAAAAATAAAAACTTTAACAAACGGTATCAAACTGACCCTAAATTTAGTTCAGAAGTTCAGAAGAAAAAAAAAAATTGGAAACACCAACTTTTGTCCTTTTTGTGTCTTGTTTCTTTCACTTCTTTTTTTAATAAAGGTAATTTTTTTATAAATATTTCTATTATATAATGGCAGATGAGAGAAAATAATTTTTAAAAAATGAAATATTAAATTTAAGATAATATTCTCACTTAAAGACAAATATCTAATCACTTAGTTTAGGCGGAACGTTTCTTTCATGTGTTCTTCATTAATTACATTATAAATTTAAGTGCTTATTTGCAATTTACATCATTTATTTTAAAATATAAATTGTCAAAATTTTTTATATAATTTTAAGTAATATTTTTTATGATATATAAATAATAATCAAGATTTTTTTTTCTTTATACATAATTTTTGTTAAATAATTTTATTTAATAAAATTATTTAATTTTTATTCATATATTATAAAAAAAACATTACTTAAAAATATGTGTAAAAAAATTAAATAGTTTATATTTTGAAATGGATGAAGTATATAATATAAAAATGCAGTACATATATTAGTCAAAAATACTTGTAGTTACAACTAAATTGGACCCAAAGCAGTGTTGAATAAAAAATAAATAAATCTCATTTCTGAAATTAAAAAAAAAAAAAAAAAAAAAAATTCATCCGCAAATAGCAGAGAAAAAGTATACCTGAAGTAAGCAGGGTATGATAAGAATACATAGATATATGCATAGGGCCTGGGGCCTGGGGGGCCTCAATAAAGAATCTTCCCACTAACTGGTTGAACCAAACTCCGCAGTCAAACAATCTTGCTGCCAGTTCCAGATCCAGTGACGCTACCTCGGAAGCTTCCTCTTCTTTTCTTTTTTCTTTTTTTTTTTTATATTTTTTTTAATATTTTTTTAATTTGTTGATATTCGATAATCATATTAAATTTTAATTAATTCATAATTAAACTACATCAAATCCCATTAGAATGGGCTTTCTCGATATCTATTTTTTTATTTACAAAATTTAAATTTAAAATTTTATTTAAAAAAATCAAATTCCGACTATTCAAACCAACAAATCATTAGTAGCTTCCCTTTCTCCTTTCTGTAACTTACAAATCTCATAGAATTCTACTTATCCAAAAAAATTTTTAAAAAAATCTCATAGAATGCTATTACTCTGTCCCTTGGAGTGACTAGTAAAAAGATAACGAAGATTATTGTCGCATCTAAAGAAAATAGTATAATTATTGTGATAATAATATATAAATAATTTATTTGTATAATTTTTATTTATTATTAAATAAATAAATATATAAAATATTACAAATTATAGTGAAGTGAAAACAGTTATAGTAATTATAACTTGCAAGATTATAGGAAAAAAGTTGTGCAGAAAACATGTGCTTAAATCATTTTCTTTTCTTCTTATTC